TGGTCTTGGCGGAATAGATCTGCTACACTGCAGAATTGCTGCTGCTGTTGGTTATTGCTGTTGTTGTAGATTATTGCTGCTGCAAAGCAAGTACAGGAACTTGCTATTGCCAGTACATACGCCAAAACAGTGCTGTGTGCATATTTAAGACATACTGCTGCTGCACAAATAGCATATAAAATAACCCGTAGCAGATCTATACAGGTGGAGCTGGGGAAGGTGGAGGGTTTCAGAGGAATTCTGAAAGCACGCTGCGAAATGCTCTAGTGAATGCTAACCAGCCATTTAAATGTAAAGCAGCAAGCCAATTGACTGCGTATGCAACATGACCCAATCAGTTTGTGCCAAGTAGTTTAACGCTGTGAATATCATCAGTTTGCGTTAAGGACCCATCAGCCTGCGCCATCTAGAGTTTCATGACAGAACTTAGCATTAATACAGTGAAATATTATTACAATTTATACAACTGTTTTCTATTTTAATATATTTTAAAATGTAATTTATTTCTGTAATAGCAAAGCTGAAGTTTTAGCAGCCATTACTCTAGTCTTCAGTTCAAAAGATCATTCAGGAATCATTCTAATATGCTGATTTGGTGATCAAGTATCATTCCTTATTATTATCAACATTGAAAACAGTTGTGAAAGTGGTTCTCAACCAAGAGGCCAGGGCCCACTAGGGGTCTTCAAAAAAGTTCCAAGGGGGCCACATGATGACTTAAAATGAATATATTATTAATAATAAAATGTATATAAATATATTATAATTATTATTTTATAATATTCTAACATAATTGAAATGCCAAAAAGACTCCTGACTCCTATTGAAAAAGAACTTTTCAATTGTAGTGTATATAGGCTGATATTGGATTTTTAAATTTTGCACACTCATTTTCACCAATTTTAACATTCAATTGACCTGTGCAGTATCATTACCTAATAGAAAAATGTTGTGATATCCAATTTCACTTTGTAGACATCACATTTAAAACTATAACTTATATTTTAACTTTTATTTCTAGCATGCTCCTAATTTTTATTTTTTTTTAGGCAATATAGTATAGATTTTTAATACTGCCCATTAAATGGTTACCATTACCATTACTTATAAAAATAAAATAATTATTGGCGTCTGCCAGAATTTTTATATTCAATAATTCTGCTTGGTGTTGAATATGTTTTCATACCTTATGTTCAGGGTGAAGAAAAGACACTTTTATAAGTGCTGAGCCACTGTGAATCCCATACAGCAAGACACTCTCCCCCCGCTGACCGGCATCCTCTAGAGACAGGATATGAGGTGGGGGAGCGTACCCTGCATCATGGTGACGCACAAACCTACGATAATCACAGAAAACAAGACATGCTGTACATTGATGCATTTTTCCTGTCTCTCTCCCTCTCTCTTCACTTAAAGACCCTTGTTCACCTCACTGCCTGTTTTGCATCAGACTCCTTTGCCAGCCGCCAATTAAATTTCAAGCCAGCCAGACAGCTAAAAGTATTTCCTGTGGATCAGGCCAAGAACAGAGCACAGTCATAACCATCTTAACAAAATAACGTTCTTTTTAGCAGCATCATATGACCCCTTTAAATGGTGTGCACTGCATTTTCATTCGAGCAGTCAGTGAGGCAAAGAGTGAGCTAGCTGAGTGCATTCAGCATTTATTTGTTAATTAAAATGCCGGTTCATTTCATATGGAAAATAGTATCATATTTTATACATTTCATTTGAATTGCCTTCGAAAAATAACCTGTACTGCTGCAACGGTGCCATATGTCCTTCAGTAGAAAGAAAAAGCATGTATATTTATTACTGTCCCATCCTCTTGCTCACCAGGGTCTTGAGCCTGGACCACAGTATGGAGAGGGACAGCCTGGGGGGAGGACAGAGCTGACACCAAGCACTGCTGACTGCAGGAGGAGAGGGGCAGCAGAGCCGGAGGGCTGAGAGCGGAGAGCGGATACACCCTGACAGTCTCAGGCTTAGAGGACACCCTAAAGTCAGGCAGACAGCAACAGAGTCAGACACATGATTGCAAGGCAACACCGTATTGTCTATATTGTTCATTTTCTACATACTTTTCTGCAAATAATTCAGGAATGTGTTTGTTTTTACAGACATTTGTAATGTAAAAAAGTAATTAAAATAAGAACGTCTGCCACTGGCTGATTCTTGACATAATGAGGCTACAAAACTGAAAAAGTTTATGCATCACAGAATCACTATGAAGGACATTTAAGCACAGTTACTTCAAATTATAAAAAACTCATAGCATGTGGAATATGGGAAAGGGGCCTTCATGATGAAGAAGGACTTTGATAATTACACTACCTTTCAAGAGTTTGGGGATAATAATAAAAAATGTTTCTTAAAGCACCAAATCAGCATATTACAGTGATTTCAGAAGGATCATGTGACACTAAACACAGAAGACTGCATCATGATGAAAATGCAGCTTGGCCATCACAGGAATACATAATATTTTACAATATATTCAAATAGAAATTAGTCATTTTAAATTGTAATAATATTTTACATTATTACGGTTTTTACTGTATTTTTGATCAGCTTTGGTGAACATTTGAAACTTCTAAAAACATGTAAAAAATCATACCAACCCCAAACTTTTGAACAGTGGAATGATTTATGTCATAATTTTGATAAAGTGAAGAGGAAATTAAATAGCACATTTGCATCAAGAACATTCTAGAGATCATCTCTGATTCATTTCACAGTGAAAATGGCCATTTAAATAAATAAATAAATAAAATAAAATAAAGTTGTGGGATATTTTTAGTCTCATGTCTCAAGAGCATTCAAAATCAAATGCAATTTAAGTTTTCTGATATACTGTAATAACAGGGCCGTCCTTAGGGGGGTGCAACTGGTGCGGTCACACCGGGCCCCGCGTCAGCTAAGGACGGCCCTGTGTAATAATATCAATTCATTGTAAACTAAACTGCATTCTGAACAGTAGTGCAGGGTAGTGACCCTATGCATGCAAACCAAACTGTTTCCACCCTGGAGATGATGTCACTACAAGATTGTTTGAATTTAGTTGTTAGGCAAGAAGAAATTAACTGATTGAATTAATAACCTTTCAGACATGACGGCACGTAATGGGACAGAATGGTATGTTAAGCCGAGTATGCGCCACAGCCCCTGTCACTCACCATTTGTAGCATCCTCTCTGTGCTGTCAGTGTGATGTTCACAGGCACATGAGTGCTGAGAGGTAACAGCAACTTGGGAACGTTCAGTTTAGTCGACTTACTGAGTGTAATCAATGAGCTCATTAGCAAAATCCCCCAAACTGCTCTCTCTATCGTAGGCATGTTGAAACTGATGCTCTAAACTCGACTACAATACACAACTGAATACTGCTGGTGGCTCAACAACATCATTTTCGAAGCAGGGACACGAGCAGAAACCGCAAACTAGTTAGTCTCAATTTTAAGAGCTCAATTTAGAGTAATGTTTGGCGCTGGTAAACAGCACTGGTCGTTACAATGACACCTGTCGCTGTTGATTTTTGAAAAAAAATGTATGATTTGATTGTCATCACCAGAATCGTGCTCTGTTTTTACAAGACGCTCAACGATTATTTTCAACCTGTTGGCGGTGTTTTCAAAACCAAACATACGTTTTTCTTTAAGTAAAAAAAAAAATAAAAATAATAATGTAATTTTGCGGATTATAAAATCAAGCAGTCGATTATTGTCAATGATCAAATGAATACATTTTAAACATCCTCTAGGTTATTGAATGTAAATGTAAAAAGGTCATTTTCGCATTGTGAACTAAAAGGCTACACTGATGCTGCACCATTTTCACAGACGCAAATCTTGTCAGTCACACAATGATACTCACACACAGACACAGTCATGTATAGATATATACTTTATTAATTCTCTCTGGTAAAATAAAATTACAAAATAATTTCAACCTCAAACGGCACCTCCCCTATAATTAATATTAATAAAATCGTTATTTATACAGCAATAATAATTTCCATGACGAATGAGAAGAAGGCTATCGTATAATTATAATAAATATGAGCTATAACTGCGTTAGTAATTATTAATGGTAAAAAAACGGAGCGATACAAAGCTAAGTTTCAGTAGTAGCATACTGTACAATATTCCAAGCGGATGTACTTCAGTATTCCGGCCACAGGATGTCACTATTAGTCAGTTTTCAAAATGGTCTCTCCATTTAAACGGAGTCGGAAGTAAAATAGACTCTTATTCCAACACCATTATAATAGAAGCAATTCCACTAAGAAAATGACTATAATCACTCATTCTACAGTTATTTCCGTGTGAGCAGCTGTTCCACCTTGATGGGGTGGGTTTTATAACGTATCGAATGGCTTCAGCGTTGCTCTTCGAAATAATGCTTTGCTCAAATGGCTGTGTCGTCTCTTGCAGACTGTAAAAAAATGCTGTCCAGATTTCATAACATTCTCAGCTGTTGATTATTTATACTCTCTCTAATCCCAACCACCCTAGTTCCTTGTTTTGCAACACACACCTCAGTCCATTTCAGTCAACTATAGACGGAGCACTTTGGTAGCAAAGACGGAATCAGAAAAATGTGTGTGTGAGTGAGCGTCCATGCATGTTAACATGTCTGAGTCAGTGTCTTCTAAAATGTATACATTCATGGTAACAGTAGAGTACGTCCGTCTTGTGGACTACATGAAATATGGCAGTTTTGTCATAGGGTTTTTGTGCAAATGTCAGCGTCTCCTTCATCGTGATACTGTATATTCTGTGGCGCTAAGCTGCGTAATGCTCGTAGTTACAGTGCATCATACAGGTGCATCTCAATAAATTAGGCCAAAATCATCACAATTAAAAAAACCAAAGACTTAAACTACTTCAGTCTGTGTGTATTGAATTTATTTAATACACGAGTTTCACAATTTGAGTTGAATTACTGAAATAAATGAACTTTTCCACGACATTCTAATTTATTGAGATGCACCTGTATGTGAATGCGTGTGTATGGTTATGTCATCTCTTCGTTTCGACTAATCCAAGTTCTCTCCACCCCGGAGGGAACTTCCCGCACCAGAGCTCTCAGCAGCTGGAGCTGCTGGTGTTGGGACTGTCCTCGGTGGGCTGAGTCGGGACAGGGACGGAGCCAGAGCCGGAGGGGGGGTTGGCTAGAGGCAGGCTGGCAGCGGTGGGTGAGAGCACAGAGGGCACAGTGGGGCTCAGGACCTTGGCATCACGCTCACGCAATAGTTGAATGAGCGTGGCGTGCTGGGCGCTGAGCGTGGCCGACAAATGAGCGGGCAGAACGTTAAAGCCGGCCGTCAGCTGCTCCACCCGCTGCTCCAGACTTAACATCTGCCTCTCCAGATCCTCACTGCGGTCGTTCAGCTCAGACATCAGCTCATACATGACGCTCTGCATCTATGTGGAGAGAGAATGAGAGCGTAGTTAGACAGAAATACAGTGGTAAAGTAAAGTGAGGCATGCAGAGCAGTCAAAAAGAAAAAGAGTACAAATACTGCACAAGAACAGAAGAAAGATTAAATAGAAGAGCAGCGATAATAAATGGAGCAATAAATACCCAGAGGAAATAAAAATCTCAAATGAGACCTCTTTAAAGTCAACATGGTGTTCACAATCCATTTGCTTTTTAATGTGTTATGTTTCTGAGTAAAACAGGATTTTCACTAATAAAAAGTATTGGATGAAACATGATGGGACTTATCCATCGGGAAATGATTGGGTTGTGAACAGTAGGCGCTATGCACCATAATGGAGTAAAAACAAGTAGATATTTGGCTGTTGGTTAGCATTATTCAATAGTGACAAGAAAAGCAGAGGAAGAGTAAGTTATTATATTTTTATGAACGATTATGATGACAATAATTTCTACATGCACTGATGCACTGTTCGTAATAGGTCCAGGAATGTGCATTAAGTAAACAAGGTCAATTTTGATCTCATCTTGACTTTAATATCTCCGTTGCTTTGGCTAGACAGCCAAATCAAATTAAACAGAGATTAAATGGAGACTTTTGCTTGAGTTTTCAGCTTCTTCAATTTTTCTTGAGAAAAAGACTAAATCTCCCTGTTTTTCCTTTTGAGTTTCTCAATGAGAAACTATGCTCAAAGTGTGAAATCATCTAAACTATGAAATTCATATAAATTTTCTAGTTCTATGCAAGTGTATGTCAATAGTCTCTTTGTGTTTATTCTCAGGAAGTTTAAGAGAAACATCTGAGACAAAGTTGAAACTTGAATGAAATGTAACTAAGATCTCCAACAGGTCTCCTAAGCATTGAAAGGGTACCATCCGAGCAATAAAATGGTCCTCTGTGTAAGAAGAACAGGTAAAATAACTTACAGTAGTCTAGTAGTCTTAGTCTTAATGACTATTTTTGGATTGCTTGTACAATAAAAATGTCTAAATTCAAGTTAATATTCAAGATAAAGTTACTTGAGAAGTAACAATTTGAGACAATATTACTTGATTTCAAAGAACATATCTTGAATGAAGTTTATTTTTCTTGTTTCATTGGCAAATATTTTGGCTTTAAGCACAAGTCTAGTAAAAGTTAGTGAGGTTTATGCTAAAAAAAAAAGGGGGGGAAAATTAATAGAAAATGTTTAAAAATTGCCACTCGGGCAAGAAATATGAGAAGCAAAGCTGCATAAGATATTAACACTGGTTTTCAGTGAACATGTCCCAAATAAATTTACCTTCCTTTATGGATCTTTACATATTATTAATGGGAAGACAAAAATCCTAAGAAAATGTTTTTTGCTGTGAAGTTAAATAAACAATTGTAAATTGTTAAATAAAAAACATTCAGAGAAAAAAATGCTTCAAAAGTGGGCAGAGAAAGCATGCAATAAAATGTACCTTAAGCGACCCAAATGAATTGATTTTCATACAAAGCACAAAATAAAAAATAAAAATAAAGGTCAGCTCACAACATGTACACTGTACTGAAAATGGTGCACAGTCTAGGAACACACAACAACTCACTCTCACATAAAAGAAATAAAAACACTAGTTACATTCAGAAAAAAAACGCCCAAACGCACACAGTCATCAAGAAAAATATCTTGAATTGCACACGTTTTCTGTCATTCTTTAACTTCCTGTCTCTCTCCCCTCCCACCCTCTCCCTCTCCTCGTCTCCTCGCTCCCACTGTCATCCCTGCTTTAACATTTGTTCAGGTTGCTAGGAGACACAAAGCCACAGAAACAAAACGGGTCAGCATGGAAACAGTTGAATGCTGAGATATATTTGGGAAAGCAGAGGTATGTGTGTCACCGGGCATTTTGTGTTGCAGTAGATGTGCTTGCAGCCCTTGGGTGTTATAAAGTGTGTGTGTGTGGGCATGGTAAAATTGCAGAAAAGGGAACACAATGTCACTGAAAGTGTGTGTGGGTGTCTACTGTTTCCTATCAGATGTAACGTGCATATGCGTGCATGGGCTCTGATGTGCGACCATGTCTGTGATTTGTGTTGATGTGTGTGCATGTACAGTAGTCTTACCTTTGATAAGTCCACCAGAGTATTGGCTTGATCACTGAGTTTTCTCTGCTCCATTTTAACACTTCGCAATCTACAAAAACAGGGACAAACACAAGCACACACACACACACACACACAACCCATTAGACCTCCTTCTAATCTCTCTAGCACCAACAGCCCTCAATTGTGAACCTCAAATAGCTAATTAACTTAATCATCTTGTTTTCTTTATTTGTTTGTTGTTGATGAGAATCCCCCAAGATGAATATGCAATTACGGTGTAAATCCTAAAAGCATTAGACTTAAAAGGATTGCATAAGTGTGGGATTTCTTTAAAAGACAGCCTTCGTTTTGAAAGGAGCCCTTAAAATCGGCGGACAGGGCCACGACAAAACAGTGACAGGAGGATTAGAGTTTTTAAAATGATGAGTATGTGTGTGGTGTGGTGGGCACCCACACAGAGGATAGCATTAGCATCAGAAAGCTAACAGTCAAAGAAGCTGATACAGTAGTCACAGTTTGGCCAAACAGACAATCAAAAATAGGGAAACATAGTCACTATAGTAGTGTAACGACAATCTGAAAAGCCAGAGGGACATGTTATTACCAAATTGGATGGGCTTATGGATATTAATTAGGTGCCGTAACATTTGCTCAGCAGTTCTAACTGATTTGCTAAAAGACAAGCTAGCTGTAGCCATATAAACATTAGCGCTCGCTTATTCGTCCACACTCCAAAAAATGCTGGGTTGTTTCAACCCAACTTTGGGTGAAATATGGACTATCCCAGCTGTTGGGTTAAATTTTTTAATTACATTTTTAACCCAAAAGTTGGGTTAGTCCATATTTGACCTAAAGTTGGGTTGAAACAACCCGGCATTTGCAGTCCACCACCAAAGCAACCGCTTGGCAGAGGCTCGTTTGGTTTTAAAGGGATAGTTCATCCAAAAATGAAAATTACCCCATGATTTACTCACCCTCAAGCCATTCTAGGTGTATATGACATTCTTCTTTCAGACGAATACAATCGGAGTTATATTAAATAATGTCCAGGCTAATCCATGCTTTATAATGTGAGTGGATGGTAGCCCAAAATTTGAAGTCCAAAAAATTGCACCCATCCATTATAAAAGAAGTCCACATGGCTCCGGGGGGTTAATAATAATTTTTCTTACACAAACGCATCGCTTCGCTTCAGAAGGCCTTTAGCCTGGACATTATTTAATATAACTCCGATTGTATTCGTCTGAAAGAAGAATGTCATATACACCTAGAATGGCTTGAGGGTGAGTAAATCATGGGGTAATTTTCATTTTTGGGTGAACTATCCCTTTAAAGGGAAAGTTTACCCAAAAATAAAGCAGTCATACAAGTTTGGGGTGACATGAGGATGATTAAATGATGACTTCATTTTTGGGTGAACAATCCCTTTAAAGCTGATTATATATAATCTAAACCAAAGGACAATAACATTATGTTTATTATAAGTGTGCACTGCAGTCTGTCGCTTTAAATGCTCTGATTGGATGTTTTTATTAATGATTATTAAAACGTATTCATTATAGTTATCGTTGTTTGTGTGAATGGCTCTTTACAATGGGTGCTACATGCATGATCTGCGGGATCAAATTCTGCTCATAAGGCCTGAAAACACCAAAATATAAAGAATTTGGTATTTGGATGATACAAAAAACTGAATTACATCATAAATCTCAAGTTAAAGTTTCACAGTTTCAAGATGTAGTCCAAATAAACAGGTCTGAAGAGATTAATGGTACAGAAAACACACTTTATCCCACTTGAATGTAAATGAAAAAAGCTTGATGAAGCTTGATAAATTAGCACATACAGCTATTAGAAAAAGCTGCCACCTTCAGATACCTTCAGTTTGTGAAGATATTTGTCATGTTCTTCCTCAGATACCGTGTCAGAGGACAGGCCAGAAATGCCAACTACCACTCAGCCCAAATGCGAAGCACTTCAAATGCTTTTTGTGTGATTTTAGCTTACATTGCTAAAGTTCACTTTGCACTTTTGTTGTTTATTGGTCCAATGTGTGTGATCAATGTGAGAATATAAAGTGCCTAGTTGAGAGTTTGAGTAAATTGGTTGTGTAAAGCTGTGTGTCTGTGATGGGAGGTTGTTTTTCTCACTGGTGAATGGCTTGGAGGAACTTCCTCTGATGCTTGCGTACGCGGGAGTGGTCAATTTTCTTCATCAGTTTGGTGTGCTTGTATATCAGCCAAGTCTCTCGTAGAACATTCGCTGCTGCGTTCTTTATCTGAGGGGACATGTCACCATAACAACAATATTAGCAACAGGAAAAGCATCTCAGGAGAAAGTTATCACAGCTCTGATTCGCCAATACACGCGCACAACCCCAAACGTCTGCCAAATTAAAGGTCCTCTTGGGAGATATTCCAGAGTGACCTGAAAACAGATTTTGTAGCACATAATTCTGTCATCCGGTCAATTCACTACTCTGGCCCCAGACCAGCAATGTCCAATAAAAGAGGGTCAACTCTAAAGCTGTTACAATATAGCTTTAGTGTTAGAGACTAGAGCTTTAGAGAGAATATATCTTTGTGGTAAAATTTTGAAGGACAAAATTAAAGCCGCCTTTTCTGGTCTGACGAACAACAGACAGAAAAACAGAAGTCATTAATTTCCAATGGAGAGATGTACGGCAGCTGCATGGAGTTGCAATCATATGCATATGTGGAATATTTGGATGAAATTTGAGCCTCAAATCGATTAAAATATTTAAACTTTTGCAGTTAAACTATATGTGACCATTCGACCAAAAGTTATGTATTCTAATTAAGATGACTGTGATGTGAGAGTTTCCAATTCCACCTTGGAATTATAAGGTTCTATCTACATTCTGAGCAGTTTTGAGATATTGATCTCCAAAGTTTTTGCATTCCATATATTTATAGATAGAACCTTTTTGTTTTCTAAAAAAAAAGTCTCAAAATGCACACAACTTAAAAAAAAAAAAAAAACATCACATGATGTAAATAAATTGCCACAGAATAAGATTATGTGAACTAAATTTTGACAAAAATGCCAGATAAATCCTTATACTCAATACGCAATATCTTTAAAGACTATAAAATGTGCATTTATGAATAATTATGTCAAATTAATTATTTTATTTATTTACACTTATTAGTTCTAAAGTACTTTTCTTTTGGTGGTCATTTATTTTGTGTACTGTATATATTCATGTATTTATTATCTATTCACATTACCGTGGTAAATAAGCAGAAGGTGATGGCTGCTTCACGATCAATTTAAAAGCTCCTGAGGGGCTGCCACTTGGGGCAAAATGCAATAATTTTGCGCAGATTTGGAGATAGTGGAAATGTGGCTTTAATCTCAGTTCCTGTACTGTTATATCAGGAAGTGTAAAGGTAAATTCAGTCTGCATTTTTTAGCACTTGATTCACTACATGAACCTAATTAAATATAGTGTTGCGCTATGCTAGTTCATTTAGCATCTGGTTAAACAGGATTGCGGGTGGTTAGTGAATAAGATGCATGTTTTTGTACTGAAATACAATGTGTGAAAGGGGCACAACAGAATGCTTTGAGGTTCAAATATTACAATATTTTTAACTACTGCCTCTTGCCCTCGAAGACCTCCTTGTGCATCGTATGATTCGTTTGTGATGTCCCGAAGCCACAAATGCTTTCTAAATCTCACATATGGCACCAGAAAAGGGAGAGGAAGAGCAAATAAAGGACAAAATTGAATAAGAAAAATGAATGAGGAGACTTCAAAGGGGCACCACTTCGGAGAAAAGAACAATTACATCCTCGGTGGGCAACGGAGGGATGATAGAACCTTCCCGCTTTTAATAAGCTCCTGATTTCACAGTATTCCTCCATCCATAGGGCAGCACCAGGCTTTTTTTTTAATCACTGTGTCTGGATTTAGCACTGCACAGCTCTGATTAATTAACAGTGGTCAGTGTATTTAATAATACAACAGTAGGAGCTCTGGCCCAACCTCAGTGCAGGTCTCATTTATGAGAAGAGCCAGAGACAGGGCAAGCTAGAGAATGAGAGAGCGAGAAAGATGATCCCAGATATAATTTAGGCAGGGATGCTCATTGCAGTCTACAAGTGGAGTTTTCTGGAATCTGAAATCCAAATGACATTGAAGCAGTATTATAGTGATTAATAAATACTACTACAATAATAATAAAGTTCAGAACAGCTCCCTTATATCTACTAAATACACAAACTTGATCGTACAATATTATTGACCTATTTACATACAAAGGGCCATTACTAATCCATATTGTCCCTACAACCACTTTTCTAAGCACTGATTTGATAGTTTTCAAATTATTCAGTCTAAGTCGCCTATGCCTAGAAGCGGCCCTGCACATAAATATCACATTTCAGGAAAAATCATCATGCAAATTGATGGTATAGCTCAGATATACCAGCACAAAGTTTATCTGACAGTCTACATCGCAAAAAAAATAAATAAAAAATCATTTTTTTAAGTACTAATCACTATTTCTTTTAAAAACACATTTCACTTAAGAAATTGCATTACCCATGTTATTATTTTATTTGTTTCTCTGTCATCATTCATTTTAAAACATTTGATCATCATTTAATAGAGCAGTTCTCAATTTTTGGGCCCCAAGGCTCACTACTGTCTACAACAATATTCAAAGGCCCTGTGACTTTTCCAGATGATTTACTGAAAAATAATTTTTTTAAATATATTTTCCTACATGATAAAATATTTTAGAATTTGATATAACTAGAAAAATGTATATTCGTTATAAAAATGCACATGGATTTTGACTTTTTTTTTTATTTACATGACTTTTCTGGGTCCTGAAATCACATTTTTTAAATTGGGCTACCTTATATATCAAGGTTTCCCAAAATTGTGATGGAAAATAACAATATTTTTGGTTGCTTTAGCCTATTTTATTGTTTGTTTTGTCTTATTTTAAATAATTTTCATGTTGAGGCCCTCTTGGAAGTTTGCTGACGGCCCCTGTTTAAGAATCACTGATTTAATCGAAACTGTTCTAAAGAGTTAATCAACAAACTATTTGCTCTACCTACAGTTTCAACAGGTTTGATTGATTATTTTTGCGTTTGAGAGTCAACATCTTAACCAACCATAATGACCTCTTCATACAGTATTGCCGTATAGTTTTTTTTCACATGGCAATTACTACTAGGTACTATACAATCAATCAAAGACAAGATGAGACAAGAGAGCAAGAGAAAGACTGTCAGAGAGGTCAAAGCAGCTGCAAGTAGACGTCAGAGAGAAAGAGGCAGAGGGCAGGGAACTGTAATGAAGTCTGGGCCATCATTGTTGACTGTGGTAAATTGAAGCCTTACCATTACAGCAGCTGCCAGACTAGCTCCCCAATTCAATCATAGAACATTTCTCCAAGAAAAAAGTAAGTTTACAGGATATGCACTACACTTTTACAATAGAGTTAATGGAGTCATTTCACTGTATAATTGATCATATACTCTGGGCTACTCTCAAGAGTTGGCACAAAACCTCATGATTGTATCATTTCTTCATTCATCACACCTTAGATTAAACACTGGATAGATATTTAAAGCATTATGGATTTTGTCAGTTTGATTAGGTAATATAAGCATGTTGCCTATGGATGATTTATAACTCGTATCTTGCATATTTGCTACACTTTTACCATTTTTCTTAGTGTGAAGAGCTTTTTAATAATCTGAAAAACCATTTTCCATAAAGAATCTTTTGTGCAATGGAAAGGTTCTATGGATGTTAAATGTTTTTCATGGAACCATAGGTGCCTATTAAGATCCTTTGTTTTTAAGAGTGTACTGAAAAAAACAGGTAGTTAAAATGGCTAAACTGAAAGATCATTCTGTTGTGTGTTCATCACATTATAACCTTTAAAAACAATAATTGCATGAAAGTAAATATTTACAACCCTCATGAATGCATATTTATTCTTGAAGACCGGCTTTTACAAGTGTGATAAGTTCGGAAGCGTATCTTTTAAGTGTGACAAATATGCAAACAATTAAAAAAACAGGAAGGGGGCAAAAACTTTTTCACACCACTGTATATATGTACCACTTATGAAAACTTGTGAAAATGGTACCAACATGATTAGAAAACTGGAATACTTTATAAAGAGCACATTAGCATTTATATTTAAAGATAGTTTGTGGTAAACAATTCTAGCCTGAGAAGCCTGCCCATCTTTACCATACTTTACCATGCTGGGTTGTTTTATCCCAACCCAAATATGGACTAACCCATTTGGGTTAAATTTTGGTAACATTTTTAACCCAACAATTGGATTAGCCCATATTTGACCCAAAATTAGGTTGAAAAAAACCAGCATTTGTCAGTACCTTCTAATGCGGAGACAGAGGAACATCCTGCTCCCTGGCATCCAGTTAAAGGTAAACCTTTTGCCGCCATGTCTCCACGGCAACAGGTTTGTGAGGTCAAAGTTGCGAGCGCATTTTTTCTCTTTTCGTAGAGCTTTGTAACCATAGTAGCGGCAAACTCAATGTATGAGGATGATTGCCACAGTAACTCTACAGCATTTATCAATCTCTCTTTCTCTCTTACCCTGACAGCCTGTTAAACTGAGGCAATTGAGTGCGTGTGAGGTAATAAACTTTAAAAAAAAAACTGGCTCATTTTCCATCCGCTTTCTTACTCCCTCACTTGAGGAAGGCATTTACTGTAGCTGCTCCTCTGAAGCAGCACTCCACTGCTAAAGTGATTTTTTTTAATCTGCCTTACAATTATTGATCACCAGCCTTCTAGTCACTGATGTCGGCCATGATGTTGCCTACATATTTGATATGAGGAGCTATTTCGGAGTTCTTTAAGTACATAAACATTTTAAAAGGACCTACGGAGAGAGAAAACTGGTACATGTATATGCTTTTCTGAAAATAAAGTTGTGTCTGTGTGTCCATTTAGTGAAGCGTGAGTGTATGTGTGTCTGTGTGTTTACCCGTTTGGTGAGCTGTGTGTCCATCATAAAGTTGTGCACATGCTTCTCCGCCTTTGTCAATTCAAGCTTCCTGGCTACCACGGCAACAACCAATGCAGTGCATCCTGCTCCCTGCGAGAGACACGAGACAAGGTCAAGGTGAGAGAACACACATGCATGAAAACATTACATAATTGTATCATTAGTAGAGGTCACATGGAACAACATAAGGAAGGTCCCATGGATGGGCTATGGAAACATTAACTCCAGTTCATTCCAGATGAGAGAGCATTAGAAAGAGAAAAAAAGAAGTGGTTTAAGTAAAAGGAGATAAATTACAAATAAGTCAGGCAAAATCATAAGAAAAAAATGTAATAATAAAAAATGAAGACAATTTTAGGACTGTTAGGATTTTTTGCAGTGTTACATTCTGTGGCATCATGCACCTATTTCTTTTAACCAGGGGAACCAGTAGCAGTTCTGTATACTTGGTTCCCTAGGGGAGATAAGGCATGACAAAAGGGGAAAAAAGTTTAGTGGTACAGGTTTTTGTTTAGTGCGAAAGGGGACCAGTTTCGAATCTTCACCTAACATATAGCAGCTCTGATGTTTAAATAATATCTCCTTTTGAGATATTGTTTAAATGTTTGGGGTCAGTAAGATTTTTAATGATGTGAAGATGAAGTCTCTTATGCTCACCAGGCTGCATTTATTTGATCAAAAATACTGTAAAACAGTAATATTGTGAAATACAGTTTGTATACATTATATACAAAATATAATTTTATGTAATTAAAAAATAGATAGATAGATAGATGGATGGATGGATGGAATATGACCCTGACACGAGATTCTTGAGATTTTCTGAGAACAGTATAGGCATCACTGGAGAAGAGACCAGGGTGATACAAAAAGAGAGAGAGAGCGGTTTATTCCTGTAAACTGAAGGTATTACCAACGACTACACCAAAGTGGTAGAGGCACGCAGACGAAAAGAGACTGAGACAGGTTGCGGGAAAATGAGGAAATAAACACATTCAGAGGTGAAGAGTTGGAGTGATGCAGACAGGGAGAGAGGAATAAAATTTCAGTTCAAGAAGAGAGAAACAATAGTTTAGTAAAGAAAGAGAGGTCTGGGGGAAAAAAGTGACAAGAAGGGTAGTGGAGGTGTTAATGAGGTCACAGAACTACTAATAAGAAATGAATTTGAATTAAAAAGTGACTAATAAAAGTGTGTGTGCTTCCTATGACTGTGTATGGCGTATACGTGTATAGTGTGTGTGTGATGTTAATGGAATGTTTTTTAACCCACTTGTAGGACATACAGAAGAGAAACGTAAGTCCAAAAATACTCTCGACCCATTTCACAAGACATAAATATAAATCAAAAAAGCCCGTTTTCAAGAAGCACTTTTGTTGCCCATATTCACCACTTAATAAAACATGACGACCATCCACGGAAAACCCCTCTAGGACATCGTCAAAATGTGTATACGTGTTTCCATATGGCAACTTGTATAAAAACATTCCCAAATAAAACACAAAACATTAATCTCTTAAAGTGACAAAAGAGTGTCAGAAAGATCCAGTTCTCTGCAGACATCCTCCATTTCAGTTCATATTTCACGTCTTTCCAGATCTGAAGGTTATTAATGTCATGAGGAGAAAAGAAAAAGCACCTGCCCTCAGACCAAAATACATTGTGTTAGAGCTGACAAAGCTGAATCTTCACTGTTATGACGCTAGAGAAAGGCTAATACTCAACTATAACAATCTATAGCCTTTAGTTGGTGTTTGAATGAGGAAGTTGAGGAAGTGAGTTATTAAAGACACTATATTGATATATAATGTACTCCATTCCACATCTACATTTGCAGACAGGATAGACAGGTGCTCCTTGCATCCCTAAATCCTCAAGCAGCACCAAGAGACTGGCAAACTAAAACCCTGCCCAACCACTCCCGTTCCCGCAGGGCAGTGGTACAGTCTAACAGAGTTGGCCTTCGATGTTGTCATAGCAACAAGTCCCATATTTCTGCCTATAGAAAGTCAATCACTCTTAACAGTAAAAGAAATCACATCCAACACGCTTTCTCTCTTCTCTCTTCTCTCTCTCTCTCTTTCTCTAATACCTATTCTGTAGCGTTTCATCTCTTTAGTAGCTCACATTTAAAAATGGAAAGAACACAAGTGGTTTGAAACATTAGCTGCCCTTTGCAACAATTAAGACTGTGAGAATATGTCAGTGTTATCTGGGTCAATGACACATCGCTATATATATATATATATATATATTTGGCCAGATCTAATAATTTATTCAAAATACATAAAACATATACACAATGACTTGAATAGATCTGCTCTTTGATAAGCATGTTTTTAATTAAAATTCATTTTGGGGAGCATAAAGCCAGAAATGTAAAGATGATACAACTGCCCTGATATCATAATGAACAAAAAAATCTCATTAAAATAATGAAATGTTTTAAAATAAATCCTTATTATGCAGTTTGACATAATCTTTTGTTATTATTATTAATTCTTATATATACAGTATTTATATTATTATTCTTATATATAGTGAATAATATATTATTATTGTTAAATATATACATACATACACACACACATTCTAATTAAACCTGACACACCTTCATATTTATGCATGTGCACATCCTCCATTGGCTTCCTACGTGCATCTGAGGAGGACTGCATGCTAGCATGCCAAGTAGCATTGTTATCTCTTTGTTTCTGTCCCTTTTCCTCTCTTACATACATACACACACACATGTATATATATATATATATATATATATATATATATATGTATATATATATTTAACAAATATATAAAAAAACTCAACAGTCATGTGGTGTAACCAACATGCCAAACAGGAAATGAAATCATAGAGAAATGACTCACGTGACTGTGTCAAGGTCAACAAGTCTCCGAAAATATCAGATCATATGACATGGTTAGTTCAGGTGGCAAAAATGTCACCCCCCAAAAAAACGTATATTTATTTCATTAAATTATATTTATGTTTAATAATATATTTGTTAAAAATACATTTTATTTTATGAAAAAATGCATTTCATTTTTTATTTTTTTTAAATTATGACTGTGTACACTCATGTTTTTAAGGTGTAAGGAAAATATCGTTGTCCTATTTACTTGATCGTTACACCACATTACATTTTAGTGTCATTAAATTTAAATTATTCTTGAAAATGTTTAAAAAAACTCAAAGAATACATATGAAATTCAGAGTATACATATCTAATAATTTGTCACGTGGTTTAAACTAGAGTTTTAAACTTTCCTTTTTCCTTTAAACTTTACTTTTCTTTATAATGGACATTCTTATTTTTCACTGATCTACCTTCTATGCGATTGTGTGTGTGTGTGTGTGTGTGTGTGTGTGTGTGTGTGTGTGGAATCGAGAAGGAAAGATGAGGATCTCAAAAAACTCCTTAAAAAAAAAATAAACAGAAAAATAACCACCATGTCACGTTAACCACCTCTGTAGTCTCTCTGTGAGGATATTTAGAGACTGAAACTGACAGTATGTGAACAGGAAGAACAAATACTCCAAACAGAACAACAGAGAGAGGAGAGAAAGTGACCTCTACTAACAGATATTTACCATCTGCAAACTCAACATCAAAATAAACACATCTAAACCGTTGCTATACACCACCTGTCAGGCTTTCCTCAAGCAGAGACATACAGTACAGGCTCAGAGAGAGAGATTATGGCAAGAAATACCTGGGGCTTACATTAAACTAATGCCACTGTACTGGAAGCTCATCAGGCAGAACAATGGCAGCCCACAACAGCCTCAAAGCTGAACAAATGTGCCGTCCCAGAATACACAAAAGGATTCATCCTATAAACACTCAATGTTTGCAAGCTGTATCCTGGTGTTTGCTAACAGACATGGGTGGTGAGACTGTGGTTTGGGTTTCTAGAAATAAGATAATGAGTAGGAAAACATATCTTTAGACTGTCCCTTGCTGCCATGGGTGTGAAATCGCTGTGCTGTGTGTGTGTGTGTGTGTGTGTGTTTATACCATAATTCCTGTGAGCAGACACACTCCCTTGCCACAGTAGGTGTGAGGCACCATGTCTCCGTATCCAATGGAGAGGAAGGTGATGGAGATGAGCCACATTGCACCCAAAAAATTACTGGTCACATCCTGAGCATCATGGTACCTGAGAGAGAGAAAAAAAGAAGCTGAGGTTCAGTTGGGAAAGATTTGATTATTGAAAGAAACTTTGAAAAGGTTCTGCCTGTGGAAGGTATGGAGAAGCAATAACTGGATGTGAAATAGGCACAAATATCACATCAAAGTTTTCGCATCAAATACTTTCATATGTTTCCATTCCTTAATTTGATCTGCAAAGCACTCTGAAGGAAACTGTTTGCCCACAGGCTTTTCGAGAAACTTCTTAAATGTTTGTTACACGTTTGTCTAAAAAACAAAACAAAACAAAAAAACAGAACAGAACAGAACCTAAATAAAATATAAAAAGTAAATCACAAAATAAAAATAAAATAAATATTAGGGTTTCCCCCATCCAGCTCATATATATGAGCTGGATGGGGGAAACCCATTCGGTTTTCACAAAATTTCTAAAGCATTTTGAGAGAACGAGAGTAGGCATACATTAAAGGTTCCCTGAAGCTCATATCACACCAACAACACCAAGTTCATAGGTCTGATTCCCCGGAAAATACGTTTTTTTTTACTAAAATGACAAAATGAATTGTGTAGACAAAGAAGTAAACAGGGCCAATTTCAAGTTGACTTCAACAGAAGATTTGAGATAGAACTGCAGATTTCTATTTTATTTGTACAATAGCATCAGTACACAGTTTCTTTGAAGTCCTCTCAAGGCATCATAGCAACCTCCCAAGAACGTAGTTAAAATAAGTTCATCCAGTTAAGGGAGGTCTAAAGTCCAATGTGTGCGTGCTGGACTGAGTAAGAGCAGCACACAGCCTGCAGGGAGACTCCTCTGGAAAGGGCCTTTAACATGATGACTTTGAGTGCAGTGCATAAAAATAGAGCAGATCCCTGTAGGCTCATCTCACAACAACGCTGCCCTGATCAGACGTGGCAATTCAAATGCGCAAACCATCACTCACATCACGCTGCTCGAGCCTGCCGCTATCAAAATAATCATTAAAACCTCAGGTCCCCAATCCAGGGAACCCTCAATATTTTAAAGCATCTACCCCGAGACTAACACACATCTAGAGTTTGTAACCATGACAACATGCCTGGTAGAGTCGGAAACACTCACTGGCCTGAGGGCCTAGTTTATCCCGCGACCCTTTTAAGATGCAACATGGGAAATCTGTTGATGCACGTCGTAACTGGCTGCTGCCCGGAGTGCATGAGTGTCTGGAAAAGGAGGAATGCTGTTTAGATACACAGGTCTTCTGGAAACAAGGGTGTGAATGAAAGTGCTCCTTTTCTGTCTCTTTCTTTCCTTCGATCCCTCTTTCTCTCTGGTCTCTTTTCCTCCCCACAGAACAGTGGATGTGTAGAGCGAGTGTTTGCACACCTCAAACGGTGTGTTATCATCCAGGCAGTGCCACTTATTGGTGAGGATTCAGGTGAGTCCTCATTAAGCATAAGAAACCTGACAGCGTCTAGACAGAAAGGTGCAGTTGGAAACACAATTATTCATTTGTTCATTCTTGCTCATGCTCGTTCTCTCTCTCACCTCTCACACACTCTTACGGTCCAGGCAGCGATGATCCACAGGGAGATACTGAAGACCAGCAGCACCGTGCCCGGGCATATGGTCATCAGGGTCTTCATCACAAACCGTGTGTTAAAGTGCACCTGAAAAGAGAAAAACAATATAAAAAAATTATACCTATAGTTTTCTCTATGGGATTCTCAAATTTGCTTTGTAAGTTTTGTCAACCACTTTGACCAAAAATATTTACTTGAAGATTTATTGTACTTAACATTTTTTTCTAGCAACAAACATGTTTTTTTGTTGTTGTTGATGTTGTTTTTTTTGGTTTCAGTTCATTAATAAGCCTTCAATAAACACATTGGCATATTCACAGTTCTCTGATGTTGGTTGGTGGTCACATGACATGCAGGTAAACAAATAAATGAATCTTTTAATTGTTTTATTTTGATTTTTACTTTAAATAATCTATTTTTTATTTACATTTGTATTCATTATTCCTGCAACCATATAGGGCACACACTTTGAAAAATGGATGGATAGGTAGTTATTAGCAACCTGCAGTTCCCTCACAAACTCCCAGAGGTTTGTGAACACCAGTTTGGGAATCCCTAGTTTATAGTAAAGAAATTTATGCAGGTTCTTCTTTAACTACCAACAAAACTTCAACCTAATAATAAAGATGTACGCTTCTTATATGAATTTATCAGACATGAAACAGGTTGTTGAATGCACATCAAACACTTAAATATACCTATAGCACCGTTATAAAGCCTAAAAGCTGTTTTATATGCAAGAGAAGTAAAACAATAATCTCATCAGGTAGTATTTATTGCATAAATACAAATTGATCGAAATGATATTTGACATTGACTGGTTGATAGTTTTAAAGCCAGTTTAGTTTCTACATAAGTTACAAAACAAAAGTTACAACTTTCTCTTCCGGATTTTAGGACCGAACAGCTCTATGAAATATAAAGTACATTCTGATCGGCTAAATGGTGTTGCGTCGCACAGAATTTTCGTTTTATGTGTGAACAGACAAATTGCTTGTCACGTTGCGCCTCTTAGGATTCATTACAGCAAATGAAAGAGAAAAAAACAAAAGTCCAACCGTTCATCATCCATTTAATCAAAAACTTCAATTACAAATTAATAATTCAGATTAGCTCATTAGAACAACTAATAAATAGAGTTACAAAATAAATGCAAAATAAGATATATTTTAAAAGTATTGAACATTTTTTAAGGGCATATCATCTCCAAAAAGGCAGTAAAAGCTGCTGTGGTGGTGAGACTGGGTCCCGTTTGTTACTTATGGAGGTCTTATTAATATTAAGACCATCAGAAGCTCACATTTGGCCTTATATTTGTCACAGCAATTGCACTTGGAAATTAAAACTTGATCTGAGATTAAAAGTTGTGTGATGTCTTTGTGCAAAAATAATGACTGTGACCTGAACTATTATAATTAATGTGAAATACTAGGTGTGCCCTGACTGAAATCTACAAGAAGCCCAAATTTCAGTTCCACACGTTTTTTTTTTCCATTTTCAGCTCAGTTTGAATCTCATGCAGCTCTTTTCTGGGTCGTTTGAAGAACAAGAATTGTTGCCATTGTTTGTTTGTACACTATTTCATCTATACTTGACTGAAAACAATAATATTCATTATCGTCATCATTATTATTGATTTGTGTTACTTAAAAGTCGCATAAAGGGCAGCTCTCCAGAGGCGAGGCGGAGATCTCTGAGCTAAGATGGACCCCATGATCATTGATGATAAAACAGCACATGAGAGGAAAGAGAATTTGCATTTACATCTCTTTGAAACAAGAGCTTCTCTCAAAGGACAAAGTGATTACCCTCTCCAATCAGCCATTCATATTAAACTACAGCAGGACTCTTTTCACCTGTTTCGGGTTATTTTAATGGCACCCAGGACAAAACTCAAACTTTGAACTATCAAACACTTGACAGCCACAGCAGTCATTCTTCAGTCTCTCTTAAGCACAAAGCTGAAGAGATACACAATATTCAGAGACATCAATCAGCCATCTAAAGGAGAGCCAAGATAAACCTGCTTGAAAAATACACAGCCATCTATCATAAAATCCATTACCGCAGAAAATTCATCAGTCACATCAACTGACCCCAAGCTGTGATGCTGCATCCTAACAATGCAAAAACAATTAGATGAAGCTCCTGTCCAAAGCTTAACACTAGTTCACTCTTACCCAGCAAATGCCAAGAAACATCAAATAGCAAATGGGTTTTTTGTTGTAACTACTAACTTAATTTTAGTAGCATGACAGTAGTTCAGCTTTTTCCATAACTTTTCCAATAACTAGCCACTTTTTCCAATAAGTAGCAGCCTAGTGTGACAAAACAACATATTTTATGTCACATTGTGTTGTACAGAAAACATTACAGCGGAGCCAACTACATGATACTCAAAAGCTCTCTCCTAAATGTCCTCAGCATTGGTCTGTTTACGTTTAGTGACTCATGTGAATGAAGCAGTTCCAAAAGAAACAAGAGTCAAGTCTCTCTTGTGCAGAAGGGTGTCTTTTTATAATGAAATAGTTAAACGCTGCTGTTTGTCACACATCTTGAATCAAGATTCATTTAGAACCATTCATTGTTTTTGAGCACAAGAAATACTGTTCTTTTAAAATGATAAATGATCAGATAGATCAGATAATATATTTTTGAAGATTCTGCCACCTTAAGTAGCTTTAATATAGTCAGCTACACCATATTAATAAATAATACCCATGGTTTATAGCAGGGATTCTCAAACTTTTTTGTCAGTCAAATCCCTTTGACCAAAAATATATACTTGGAAGTACTCCCTGAGACAGTATGTTAATATTAAAAAAAACAAAACAAAGTAATTTTACTAGTATCAAGAGATACTATTATAGTTTTTATTAATATTTTGAATTATTGTCTGACATTAAATTTTAGTTAAAATTTTAGTCCTTTTATTCAGTTTTTTTGTTTGTTTGTTTACAGTGGCAGAATATAGTGTTTATATAATGTTTATATAATGTTTTTTATATGCATTTTAATTCATTTTATTTCAGTTTTAGTTAATTTAGTACATGAAGTTAAACTAAATGAAAAACATTTTTTTTTGCCTTGGCAACCTAAAAAAAGTTTAATTTAATTTTAGTTAAAGTTTGTTTTACTTCAAGCAACATCTTTTTTTTTAATGGCTTTCGTTTTAGTTTAAGTTCACTAATAACCATGCAACAAACACATTTGCATGTTCATAATAATAGTTTAGTTCAGGGGTTCTGAAAAAAAAAAAAAAAAAGGCTAAAATTCCAGAAATTGCCATAATTATGCTTTTATTATGCTTTGTAAAGACTGCTCAGAAATCATAAGAATAATCACAAGTAATTTAGTCTATAATCAGCCCCATGTTTGTATCTCTTTACGGGTCCCTAGCAAAGGGATCATCATATGTGGGGGTCCAAGGAATCAAAAAGTTTGAAACGCCTGGTTTCACTGACAGTTTGACTGTAGTGTGACTAGTTTTATTATTTAGTAACTCTAAGCAATTTTAAAGAAGCTTCCCCAACACCGTAAGTTTGGATCAGTCAGTGTGTGAACCCTGTTGCTGTTTGTTGGGTCAGTGTGAACCAGCCTATAAATGTACAATCTTTAAACCATCAGTAAAGCTGAAAGGTTCATCTTCCTCAAGAGACCAAACAAACCACATAAACACACAAAACCTTTTCCTCCAGCGCTGAAAACCACAGGTCTCTGTGCTCATGATTGTCCTCATAAAATGAACTTTACTGCCCTCAGCCACACTATGTACTGCGTTTTTCACGCTTGAGGTATTCGGCCAATCACAACGCACTGGATAGCTGGCCAATCAGCGTACACCTCGCTTTTTCAGACCGATGAGCTTTGTAAAAATCGACGCGTTTCAGAAAGGCGGGGCATAGAGGAGAAACAATAATGTACAGTATGTGGAAAATAATGTGTTTTTTGAACCTTAAACCGCAAACACATTTCATTACACCAAATACACAAAATAATGTTATTTTTAGCAACGTCATATGACCCCTTTAAATAACTGTCTGCCCTTAACATTTAGTAAAATTTTTAGTCTTTTTTTTTTTTTACAGTGGCAGAATATAGTATTTATATAATGTTTTTAATATGCCTATAGTTTTTATTCATTTTTGTTTCAGTTTTTGTTTTAGTTATTTTAGTACATGAAGTTTTAAATTATTTTAGATAAAGTTTGTTTGACTTCAAGCAACAGTTCATTTTTTCCGGTTTTAGTTTTAGTTTTAATTAAACTAATAATCATGCAATAAACACATTTGCATGTTCATAATCATAGTTTAGTTCAGGGGTTTTAAAAAAATGTGTGTGCAAATTGTGTAAAAATTAACAAACAAATAATAAATAAATACTTAAATAAGCAAAAATTTCCAGAACTTGACATAATTATGCTTTCATTATGCTTTCTAAAGACTGTTTAGAAATCATAAAAATAATCACAAATATTTTAGTCGATAGTAAGCCCCATGTTAGTTTCTCTTTACACGTCCCTAGCAAAGGGGTCATCATATTTGGGAGTCCAAGAAATCAATTCAAATGTCACTGACAGTTTGAGTGTAGTTTGACTAGTTTTATTATTCAGCAGCTTGAAGCAGTTTTAAAGTAGCTTCGCCAACACCGTAAGGTTGGATCAGTGTGTGAACCCTGTTGCTGTTTGTTGGGTCAGTGTGAACCAGCCTATAAATGTACAATCTTTAAACCATCAGTAAAGCTGAAAGGTTCATCTTCCTCAAGAGACCAAACAAACCACATAAACACACAAAACCTCTTCCTCCAGCGCTGAAAACCACAGGTCTCTGTGCTCATGATTGTCCTCATAAAATGAACTTTACTGCCCTCAGCCACACTATGTACTGCGTTTTTTCAGCTGAACAGATTCAGCTCCTTCAGCACTGACATGCAGTCACATTCGGATGGGACAAAGGCATATTCTCCTGAGAGGATGTGTTTATTGAATCTAGGCGCAAGTGGGCCATTGAAGGCAGACGGAAAGGGAAAAGCTGGCAAGCTGATGAGGTTTGGACTAGGTTGTTTATAATACCTGAAGAAAGCTAGCCGCTAGCATTCCCATTCATCTCAAAGGCAGTGGCTTGGCTAGCGCAGAACCCTCCAGAAGTATGTGATTTAAGAGACCTCAAAACAGGAATCAGATGATATGTTACTAACATAGCCTATATCAACCAGAATATATCAACCAGCAGGGGCTAATGGGGCCAGGCTAAACGAAAGGAAATGGGAAGAAAGGAAAGCCATATTCACAAACAAATGCTACAAATAATAATTCACACCATAAATTCTCAGTTTTGAATCGTTGGGTTGACCTCTGACCTTGTTGAGTGCCCCTATGCTGCGGGAGGAGGCGTCGGTGAAGAGCTTGCTATGTAGCAGCATGACTCGGGCGATGAGGTAGAGTCTAAGGAACATGGGTACAGATAGCACCATGTCTAGATCTGCCTCCGCCTGCGAGGGAGCGTAGGAGAAGGCCAGCCGCGCCCGCCACATGAACTTGAAGTCCCCTGGTACCGGGTGAACCGCCGAAACAATCAGCTCCAGAGCGATAAGCAGCACTCGCTCTATGGTCATGGCGATCCGCCAGTCGTCCGCACCATTGTCAATAACGAAGAGCTGAAGGGGAAAAGTCAGAATGGGAATGTTAAACAATGCAAATTGAGCTGAGTTTCCCAGCAAAGTTTCAATTTACATAATGGATATCAAATTTGCATTCAAAAGTGAATAAAAGTGCTCAAGGGAACACGGCAGTCACTAGCTGCAACAATGACATAACACAAAGAAATAAAACCCAGCCACCATAAAAGCTTTATTAACTGTTCTTTTATTCTAACACCGTGTCCAAATTAGATGCAATGGTGTAAAGTGATAAAAAAGTAGCTATAAAAAAAGCGATAAAAAAGAGTTTTGTTCCAACATTTTTTTTTTTTTTTATCATTTTACACAAATGTGAAAAACCTGCAGATAAAATAAATTAAGATAAAAACAGTAAAATTTCATTGATTGAAAATCCTGTTAAAAGCTAGAGAATTGATCATGATCTTGTGTTCCCACAGTAATACAATTTTTAGTTGAGGTATGGCTGTGTGTACAAATTTTTTTAATCAAATTTAATAAAAAAAATCACTACTTTAAAAACACAACAGAAATTCCAGAAGGAACCCATGTGGAAAAAATGCAAATTCTCTTCTGGATTTTAGGAAGGATGGATATATGGACAGATAGATAAACAAAAACAAAAAAATAATAATAATAAATCCTAAAGAAATAAATACATGAAAAAAGATACTGAAATTACGATTAAATATTATTATATTTATAATATAATTTATTATTTAATTATTGATAATTAAACAAGTTACAATTTGTCTTAATATCTAAACTTAATACAGAGACAGAAAATTTTGTCAGTCCTTCTGTTTATGCACTAGGTTGCCCCAGCTACATTAAAATCCCATTGGTCAAAAAATCCTGCTCCACATACTTACTGTAAGTTGAAAGTGAAAGTGAAGTGACGTGTGGCCAAGTATGGTGACCTATACTTGGAATTCGTGCTCTGCATGTAACTTATCCAAGTGCACACACACAGTAGTGAACACACACACACACCATGAACACCATATTGCTGATCCATATTGCTGCGGTGCCCAGGAGCAATTGGGGGTTCGGTGCCTTGCTCAATGGTCTCACCTCAGTCGTGGTATTGAGGGTGGAAGAGAGCGCTGTACATTCACTCCCCCCACCTACAATCCCTGCCAGGCCTGAGACTCGAACACACTACCTTTGGGTTACAAGTCCGACTCTCTAACCATTAGGCCACAACTACATGTATACCGAGCTGATTATCTTAAAATCCTGAATCCTATAATCCTTTTTTTTTTTTTTTCATTTGAGGCATGCCTGTGTGTAATTTATACTGAACAAAACAGAAAATATTTATAAACAATCATTTCAAATCATAAATGTATTCATAAATCAAAAAGTGGTATTCTAAAAACCCATTAGAAATTCCAGAGGGAACCCAAGGCCCAAAAAATGCAAATTCTCTTCCGGATTTTAGGACCAAACAGCTCTATAAAATATAAAGTACGTTCTGATCGGCTAAAATGGTGTTGCGTCGCACAGAATTTTCGCTTTCAGCGTGAACAGACAAATTGCTTGTCACATTGCGCCTCTTAGGATACATCACAGCAAATGAAAGAGAAAAAACCCAAAAGTCCAGTTGCGTAACAACTCAAGACCAACCATTCATCATCCATTTTATCAAAAACTTTAATTACAAATTAATAATTTAGATTAGCTCATTAGAACAACTAATAAATAGAGCTGCCGTTCGACTAACTGAATGAGTAAAGTGTGTTCTCAGACGCAGCGCAGGAGGCGAAATGAGAGGGAAACAGATTGATGAGCCCCACAGTGAGAACACGCTCAGATAGTCATTTTATCCTGCCAGGAATGCCAAACAGATAGAGCAATAAGCAAACAGAATTCCTCTGGCATAATGTGCACTGACAGTTATATGTCTCTTTCTCTCTCCTTCGCTCTCCCAATGCAACTTCATGTCGGGCGGTATATCAGCAGAGCCTAACGACAGAACGGGAAGCTAATTCTGCTGGCTGGTGGTGTTAGATGTGTTTAATGTTAATTGCACGTGTAAGATTGGCGAGGTTTGTTTAACTGATAAGCAGAAGGTAAGCAGGGTTTTCCCCACTGAGACATACACACATCCACTCGCACACCCACAGGAGGGCTGCAAATGATTATACGGGAATCCTGAGAACTCATGAATGAAGTCGTATAGCTCTTTCGCGCTTAGCTCTACCGCGCTCGCCTATATTTGACATGAGGTTATATCACAGTGCAACAGGTCTTCCTGGCATCTAGTGAAATTGCTTTGTTTGTCTAATTGCTCGTGCATGTGCGTGTCTGACTCGGTGTATGTGAAGGGCATGGTGCATGTCGTATGGCTGTAAAATGCGCATGTTTTTGTTTTTTTTCTGGAAAAGCCAGCCTTGTCATGGTGACTGTTGCCTAGGCGACAACATCAAAGACCTGCCAAGCTTAATTAGGGTCCCCCAGTGAGAGAGGGAGAGAATGACTGTGTGTTTGTGCGTGTGTGTGTGTATGCGAGCGCAAAAGAGAGAGAGCGTGAGGAAAGCGTGAGGGAGCGAGATAGAAAGGAGGTGGAAGGCAGGGAAAGAAGCCGAGAAAGGGAATGAATGTGCGGGGAAAATACGCATGTGTGGGTGGGTGGAAAGAGAATGAAAGAGAATGTGTGAGAGTGTGTGTGTGAGAGCGCATGTGAATCTGTGAGAGGCTTGTATGGATGGGTGTATGACTTGTGAATAATGGTTGAACGATATGGGTTGTAATGACTGATACCATTGAAATCTACAGTGGAACGTGGCTGATTCAGTGTTGATTGAATGAGACAATAATACTGATTAAATTAAATGCTTATTTTACACAATATTAACAATTATTTGAAGACAGATAAGACTGTTTATTATTAGTGATCATTAAGGTTAAATGTTCAAACATTTTATGAATATTAAATTAATCATATCAACACTTTTTAAGAATATTCCTGCAAAATTCACTATAAAGTACTTGAAAATATTATTATTAGAGTGTTTAATGTATAAACATTTAATAAACATTAAATTGATTTGTTTAATTAATTTGATAAATTGATTAATATCAAAATATTTACTCAAAATTATCTAAAAACATTTGACAAATGTTTATTGTTAGAATGTTTATTAAAGTAAAATCTTAAACTTTAAATTTAAATTAAATTTAGTTTAAATTATGTAACATTATTTAATATTAAATGTAACATTAAATTGATTAAATTAAATAAAACACAAACTTCACATAATATTTAAACAAAATCCACTAAAAATACTTTAAAAAGATAATACTTATTACATTAAAATTGTAAAATATTTTATGAACATTAAATAGTTCAAATCAAAACATTTCACTGAATATTTACTCAGAATTAAAAAAAAAAAAAAAAAAAATTTATGTTAAAAAGTTTAAACGTGCCATAAATATTAAATAAATAAACTATATATAATAAATAAACCAATGTTTAGTTAAAAATATCTGAAAACAGATCATGTTTATTGAATGTTAAAATGTTCAAACATTTAATAAATAATACATTATTTCCAAATAATGTCTAAATATCAGTTAAAAAAAACAGCTATTGCCTCAAAACAGCCAAATATCATATGATATACAGTGGGTATTGAAAAGAATCAGCCCCCTTTAAAATAATCAAATTTTGTTGCTTTGCAGCCTGAAATGAAGACGGACACAGTTTTTGTTTTATCCAGCTGTATTTACTCAGTGAAACTTATAACATCCAAGTGAAAGATATAACACCAACATGTCAGACAAAAAATAAAAATAAAAATAGAATCACTGAGTTGGAAAAAGAATCACCCCCTCCTAAAAGTGACTTGTAAACTCAATCAGGTGTAGCTAATCACCTTC